ATTTCTCAAGATTTTCCTAAATGCTGCACAACTATTTAACACACGGCGATTTCTTCCAAAATCGGTTAATCTCACTATGGCTTCAATTAAAAGTTCCATTTTTGTCCCAAATATGGACTTTCGAAATACAGAATCGAAACAAAAATATTTGGGAAATTTTACTTTAACAGGTAAGATTAATACACTTTTGTGGAATTAAACAGGGACTCCTTATTTAATTTAACGCAATGAAAAGTGAAAAAAATTTAACTAAGCATTTGTATTTTTTTAAATATTTGCACAATTGTCGTAAATTATATATATATAATATATATATACATATATAAAATTAAATATATATTTTATATATAATTCATATACCTTTAATTAAATTATATAATTATATACTAGAAATATTTCACATTTATTTTGTTTTATTTTAATATAAAATAGAAAAACCAAGAAAAATCTTTCGGAAAATATTTGGCAGATCGAATAGAGCTGTTCCATTTAGAATTGCACGTTTGAAAAATTACACTTCTTATCACTAATTCTGCACAGATTTACAAATCATAATCCACTTTTTGGGAAATTAGATTGGATCCCATGAAATTTGCTGTGTTCTAATTTTCTAGATTATCGACAACGAATTAAAGTAATATTTCTGAAAGGATTCGCTATATCAATGTATTGTAAGGTGCCGATGTATCGTAAAATGTATACAAATAAAGAATATATACGTTCCTAGAGTGTGGTAGTAATTGTGTAGCAGAAAAAATAAGTTAGCTGACGATTAAACAAAAGAAATTACAGTTGAAAGATGAAAATTCTTTTACCGGGGACGTGAGCCGAATGAACCGGAGTATCGTAATTTTTCCCTTACCGGAAATTGATATCCCCCTTGTCTCAACCGACAGTATATGCTCCTTCCAGATGTTCGAATATCGTTGCCAAAGACCGTGCGAGCGTTCACTCATCTGTTGTGAACGCGGCCACAGTTGTTTCGAGGGAACGACGGAGAAAGGTCGAGGACCCGGTCGCGACTGCCAATAAAAATCCAAAGTCATCCGGGTTTCGCGCGGGATGTAAATCGTCTCGTGCTGGCTTCATCGGCTGATATCATGCGGTTCGACATTCCTACGGGGAAAATTCTACCCTGGTGCACGCATTCAGCTTGCCGCGAGAAGGAAAGGACGCGCTTACATCTCTCGCGCAGCCGGATAACAAATTACGCCGTTAATGGTCGAGAACAAATGATATCTCTCTATTAAACGAGCGTAAATTAACTTTATAGCTCGATGATTGACGATATGAGCCGCGAGCGAATGAACGAACGAGCGAGACCCAGCCAGCTGGAAGCCCAGAGGGTTACATTCCTCGAGTGCGATACCTTTCGTGTCTACCGCGTTGAGAAATCGCGGAATACTTTCGGGAAAGCGGAAAGCGGGGGGCTATTTACGTTCTTTCAGCAATTCGCGGGACGAACTGCTCGGTCCATTCCTTATTCCTTATCGATCGCGCGCCCGCCGAGGAGAAAAGGATTCCAGCGACAGCGATACGTGCTCTCCCGTCTCTCTCTCGAAAAATTTCGGTGAGTTCCACCGGAGTTGTAAAAGCTGTACTGCTCGTATCCACGGGATCGCCCATGTCCGTAATGCATAAAATACGTAGACATAAATCGATCTTCACGCTAGCGTGACAAAATGATCCGGGGAACGATGTTATCGGGTCACGTTTCCCGCTCTCGACTCTTCTTTGAACATTTTCTCGCTGAGCGAACAACGAGACTCAAGCGCGCGCGCAGCTGAGCGCGCGCCGGCTATTCGTAATTTTTTTATGAACGCGACGAGCGCAGCGAATACGGAAAAAGCGGGCGAATAGGTACGACGAGCACGTGAGAACGCGGCTTTTATTTACCGAGTGCTAAATGCGCGCAAAAACCTTATCGCATGTCTCTCCCCCCTCCCCCGCCTGGGAGCGTCAAATTCAATATTCTTTGTCGACAGATACGAAGAAGCGCGCGCTGACACGCATATCGGAAGAATAAGTCGATAAGTTACCTAATCTGACCAAAGTTCCGGCTGAAAATGGCCGAGTTATGTATTGGCCGGCGTATTCGATACTGTTGAGGGAAATTTAGAAGTTTACGAGGCTAGGTAGGTGGAGAAGTTTCGTCGAGTCGGACAGACGAGGAACCCTTCCATCCATCGCAATGTATGTTACTCGACTGTGCAGTATATGCCGGCTCGCCTATCAAAGCGCATGATAAATGGTCAAGGATCCAAGTCACCAGGTCGTTCGCTATTTCCCGCTCTGCCGTTCTCAGAATCTCAATCACCTGGCCAATCGGCCAAATGCCCGTTTACCGCGTGTCTTTTTTATCGGTACGTGTGAAAAAGCGAATTCAAAAAAGCCCAATGTTTTTCTCAACGAATTTTTAACAACAAAATTCCGTTCGAAAAGACATACTTAATGTGCGTGTGTGTGCGTGTGTGTGTGTGGTGAACACGACTATTGTTTTTTTCTTTCTGTATATATATATAACAATCGCGCGAGAAAAGTTAGAATACACGTGGCACTTGGCGCTAATGGAAATAATGCGCGCTTAACGACACATGCGAAATCGAAGAGAAATGTTCGAATTATCTATCACGGATTATAAATTATTGACTCTTAACGAAGGGCGCGTGCGTTACATCGACGACTGCACGGGGGAGCACATAATGATATTTCTGATTTATTACGTAGAATAGGGAATTTCAACAGCGCGCAGTTATCCGATAATATCGAGTGTGTATTATGGTGTATCGGACGGAAGAATATGAATATTACTCTCGCCAACGTCATTATAAAAACAATATTTGCGATCGCTAATAATATTATCAATTATTTCAATATCGTATTCTGCACACATATGTTATCAGTATTAACCGGATATATGCACATATATATATCTACCTCCTCTGATGGAACGAAAATCTCTTATATTATATAAACATCAATAATGTCTGAAATACGATTACGACATTCGCGTGCGGCAGAGAACACGACGCGAGTAAAATTTCATATTTTACCCAGTTGCGCTGATTTATCGATCAATAAGAAGTTTTGCGATGCGCGAATCGTAATAGCGTCGACGTAATAGCGTCATCCGTAAGGAACACGCAAATTTCCATTTCTCAAGACATTGATCCGACGCAAAACGATGCATTGATAACCTTTGCGTTGATAAAACGATGCGTTGGTAACCTTTTTATCAATATTGACAGACACACACACTCACACACACACATATATATATATATATATATA